CTCTTCTAGACAGTCCAGTGGAACGCTAGTAGGCTCATAACCTGTAGGTGTTAATGAACTTGGGTGTTCATTCGATGTATTCCATCCCCCCTCATGGTTGCCTTATTTGACTTATATTGCTGAGGAACCCCCGCAATATGTGTTGTCACCCGATGAAAATATTCTTAGATTAGGTCCCTTGTGTTAGTTATTTTAGGGACATAAAGTGAGAATAACGGGAATGGGTAATTGGGTTATTGTTGGTTGATAATAATTAATTTAATTATTTATTATGGGTTGAAAACGCTATATGCTCACCAGGCTCCCAAGCCTGACCCACTCAGTTTTATTTGTATTACAGGAAGTGGCGCAAGGGCGTAAGATGGATGAACCATCAAGTTGTTTTGTTTACAAGTCTGTATATGTATATATTTGTTGAATGACTTGTAATGTTATCGTTTATGCTTATTGGTCTGTATCGGAACATGACACCCCGAGTTTTGATTATATAATGAAAAATACATTTCTTTTATGAAATGCTTTGGTAAACATTGTTTTATCATGTTTTGTTTTTGGGAACAAATTCCGCAACTCTTTCAAATCAAAAGGATTTACTCTGAAATTATTTTAAAAGCATAAATGAAAATCGGTCTTTTCTGGCCGAGATTTTGGGGATGTCACAGACATTCCCATATGGAAATGGGAGGAGATAACTATGGGTTTCATCACGAAGTTGCCAAAGACAACAAATGGGGTTGATTTGATCTAGGTTGTCATCGATAGGCCAAGAGATCCCACTTTATCCTAATTCAAGAGACTTCATAAAGTTAGTTGGGATCTACATTAAGGAAGTGGTTGCACGACATGGAGTTCCAGTTTCCGTTGATTCTGACCGTGATGTCCATTTCACTTCCAGGTTATGGAGGAAGTATCACGAAGTGTTAGGTACTCAACTACTTTTGAATACTGCTTATCACCTACTTACTAATGGTCAAAGTGAGCAGACCATTCAAGCTCCTAAGGATATGCTTCATGTATGCTTGTTGGATTTTGGTGGGAGGTGGGATACTTATATTCTTTTAATTGAGTTCTCTTACAGCAACAACTATCATGCCAACATTGGTATGCCTCCCTTTGAGTTGCTTTATGGGAGGAAGTGTCGGGCCCTAATTTGCTGGGATGAGGTTGGTCATCGAGTGATGCGGAGTATTGAGGTAGTACTCAAGACTACTAAGTAGATTTATTAGGTTCGTGGTAGACTGCAGACCACATCGAGCAAACATAAAATTTATGTTGACCGACATTGTTCTGATATTTAGTTCCAGGTTGAGGATTTCATGCTTCTGAAGGTGTCACCATGGAAGGGTGTTATTCGGTTCTGGAAGCGAGACAAGTTGGACCCAGATACATCGGTCCTTTTGGGGTTGTTATCTAGGTAGGCAAGGATGCTTATCGGCTGGATCTTCATGTGGAGCTTATTCAGATACACAACACCTTTCATGTTTTACAGTTGCATAAATGTTTAGCTGATGAGTCCGTAGTGGTACCCTTGGATGACATTCAGGTTGATGAACGCCTGAATTATATAGAGCGACCGGTTTCCATGATCGATATGAAGACGAAAACCTTGCACAACAAGGTAGTGGTTTTGGTCAAGGTATAATAGAAGCACCGGAAGGGTTCTGAATGAACTTGGGAACATGAGGAAGAGATGGGAGAGCATTACCCCAAGTTATTTGCAGCAACGGATTTCGAGGACGAAATATGATTTAAGTAGGGGGAGTTGTAACATCCAGTTTTCAGGTATGGATTTTAATGCTTAAAATCTTGTGGACTTTTGTGGCCACGACATGGTGGGGAAGATCACCACGACGTGACAACCACTTTTGGGCCTCATATTTTTTAGTTGGCACGATGTGGTTGTGTATTGGCAACAACGTGGCAATGTCCCAGGCTCAAACCCTATTTTTTCGACTTAAGGCCCTATTTAAGGGATGTGATGGTTAAGGTTCACCCACCCTCAACCTTCATTACCTCTAAGAGCCTTGGAGCAAACCCTAATCCACCCTCATCGATATTTGAGATCCATTTGGTGTTTTTGCTCCTTTGAAGGAAGAAATAAGGAGTTTTAGAGCTAGAGCGAAGCAAGCAAGCTTCATCACAACCTTTTATGCATCTCATAGCCCCTTGTGAGTGTCCATGTTCCCTTCTTTATGGTTATAGTTTTTTAGATCTTGCCTTTTATAACATTTTGAGTCTCTTTTTATGATCTTGGTTGGAGTTTAGGGATGAACTCCAAATAAAGCTTGTAACTTTATCAAACTTAAATGTCCCTTGAGTGTTATACCTTTCAGATCTAGAATTTTGAGAGTGTTTTGAAGCCATACATGATAACTAGGTCACTTTTCTTTCCTTTGTTGACCTAGTTTTGAGGGAGACATGCATTAAACATGCATATCCATAAAGTAACGATTTTTATGAGTCTTTGTGAGGAAAATACACCTTATGGAATGTTTGAGCAAAGAACTTTGCATATGTAGAGCTTAATCAATTAAGATGTCTTCAAATAGAAACCACAATGTGGTATGGTGCTCGCCACAACGTGGTAAAGGAGGGCATCATGTTTGTTTTGTCATTTGCTGCCATGACATGGTGACATATTTGTTATGACGTGGTGGTGGAATTGGTCGCGATTGTGTTGGATAGCCACGACGTGGCCAGTGGTTGGCTACAATGTGGTAACCTTTTTGAACTGACTTTTGGTCCAATTAGTAGTTTTTTTTAGTACAATAAGAGTTTGACCTTATATGGTTCTTTAGGTGGTGTGTATTGCCAACCTTTCGCCTGTATGAGTTGTAGTCTATTAAACTTCGAGTGTGAAACTAGTCTTCTCACTATACTATGTAGGATGGTAGATTGCCTTTGTGACTCTTGCATGTATGTTGGGTGAGACCCGTATTGACATGTGATATTTTGGGGAACTCACCAAAATGTGTGATTATGGTTTCATGTTTAAACGTTTTAGGTACTTATGGTTCTAAATGGAATGGCTCTACTTGATCATATTGTATTCCTTAGAGTTTTATTTCTGCTTTAATATTTATGATTTTACTGTGATGTTTGAGAACACTTTACATTCTGATTGTCTTTTGAACAAATGATTGAAGGTTTTAATGGTTGAAAGATAAAACTTTTACTTAGTATTTTTAGACGTTACAAAGACAAACTTGATGATTATTTATTAATTGGATACTTGATGGGATGAACACAACTCTTTGGGATATAGTTCTATGACCGTGCATATGATCCATATCATCAGAATATATTTCATATGCCTCCCATTGCTATCCCAATATGCCAAATGGATTCTTAGTAATATTTTACCGGTAAGACTTGTCAAGAAATTAAACACATGTTAAAGTTTGATATAAAATGTGACTTCATTGGTTTATCGTACACAAAACAAATAAAACGAATAAGAATAAAATAAATTAGAAATTAAACACATGTTAAAGTTAGGAGATAAAATGCGACTTCATGGTCTATTGTACAAAAAAAAAAAAAAAAAGGAATGAGAATCAAATAAATTAGAACGTGATAGTTTGAATCAAATTAATTAGAAGATGATAGTTTGTTGTTATTTATGACATTAATTCTAAAAGCAAGGGTGTAGACTAGGAGAATAAAACATTACGTGATTCCAACCATCGGCTACACAATCCAATGGCTGACAACGCAAGTTGTGAAACGAAGCTTGACTGTATCCATTTTCAGTTCAACTTTTATTTATTTATTTATTTAATTTATGTTTAAGATTAAGATTAAGATTAAGATTAAGATGCTTTGTTAATTGTTAATTTAATTGTTTGGGGGCTATAACTTAAGTTATAAGCGAGGGAGCTTTCTCTGTTTTTTGGGCTTAGCCTTTTTCCGGTGTTCGACTTCGACCCACCCACACATCCACTGTTCCCAACCCCCTCGATTCCCCTTCGCGACACTTCTCTCCACCACACACGCACACGGACACCCAAACCGATACAAACACCACCGCCTTTCGCCTCCTTCGCATCGTCCTTGCTATCGCTTTCCAAGATCGCAGATCGGAGTTGTAGTTGTAGATCGGAATTACCCTACCTATTTATCGACGGTAAGCGTTTTCTCTCCGTACGTATGTTCGATTTTCTGGTTTTGTTTATAAATTGTTATTGTGTGCTACTTCTGGTTAATTTAGAGTTGAAATTTAGGGTTTCGAAGCGCTCGAAGGTCTGATAATGTTTATCGAGGAAGTATTTTGCTTTTCTCTTTTTTTTTTCTTCGGTTTTTTAACGCAAAATATGTCCTCGATGTGTGAATCGAAGTTCATATGTGAAAGGATATATATATTGCTACACTACCCTACGTGCCGATGTAGGATGCCCTTTTTTCCTTTTGATCCAATATAGGACGAATATAGCACGGGGTGTTATATAAGTCTGAAGAGTATATAAAAAGTATGGTTTACTATTAATATGTTGAAATTAACGACATATAAGTCTTTACTATTAACTTATTCGAACTAATGACATGGAAGCAGCTTTGTTGTGTATTTATGAATGTGCTCATACACTTTAAGGACTAGTGGTAGGGAGGTTTCTTGAGAAGTCGATAGTGTGAGAAGTACACTTTACTCACTTTGATTGCGTGAAACAATTGCGTAGGTGATACGTGACTACGTGAGATGCTTTTGGTTATCTTGAATGTGATGATATTGTTTAAGTTGAATGCTTGCTCTTTCAAATCTTGTTGTGCGGAGTTCATTCTGTTTAAAGCATCATTCTTTTTTATGGGCTTTAGTTGGTAAATGACTAGGTATTGGAGTGTTGTTGATGCTGTAATCTCATATAACATCACTTGTTGTATGGCTGAATTCAAGTCAACTAGTCAATACTCAATAGTTCTTTATAGTAACCAAAGTAATATTTTGATTTCATCTGCAGGTCTTCCAGATACTTCTTGGATGACCTTGGGACTGCATTTGAACAATGACATCGAGTATGTTGGCTGGAGAGCGGAGGTATAATTATTTATCCCTTTCCTTCTGTCTTACTTTTAATTAAAACAACGGGTCTTAGTTTTGTAATGTTATTCACTTCCTGTTTTCCTCTTTTGCCTTTTACATTCCTGAACAGCATGAAATCAATGTACTTAATCTTCTATTGTTTTCTGTTTTAGGTGGGCCTCTGCAAGAAGAGGTGGCATGATTGTTTTGGGGAAAGTTGCTGTTCCTAAACCTCTGAATTTACCTAGCCAAAAGTATGCTTTTACTGCTGAATAGTCAATTGTCTTTGACTCTGTAATAAATAAGAATAACCTAATGTTTTTTCTTGCTGTTTCAAGGTTAGAGAATCATGGTCTGGATCCAAATGTTGAGATTGTTCCCAAGTGAGCACTGCTTTATTATAATCCTATACTCTTGTTAATTGTTATAATATTCTCTATGCCACTTTTACCCTTCAGGTTTCTTACATTGCTGTTGTTTTCTCTAACAGGGGTAGCCTTAGCTGGGGAAGTCGGCCATCTTCTTCAACCTCAAATCCTTGGGGTGCATCAGCAGTATCACCAAATTCTGATGGTAACACCGTTTCACCACGTCATCCCACTGGCCGCCCATCATCTGGCGGGGGCCTCAGTCGACCATCGACAGCTGGCAGTGAAAGAACCCATGAGCCTTCTGCTGCTAACACATGGGGTCCAAATTCCAGGCCATCATCTGCTTCAGGGGTATTAACGTCAAACCAGTCAACACTAACAACCTCACGCCCACTCAGTGCAGAGACAAGACCTGGTAGCTCGCATTTATCCCGTTTTGCTGAACCCACATTTGATAATTCCATGGCGTGGGGCCCTAATGTTACTTCAGATAAGCTTGTAAGTTCTTCTGCACCATAACAGAGATGCTCATGTGTTAACAAAAAGGAATCTTTTAATCAGTCTTTGACTCTTCTTTTTTTTCTGCAGTCAATACCCTCCAAGGGTAATGATTTTTCTCTGAGTTCCGGGGACTTTCCAACTTTGGGTTCTGAAAAAGATGCAAAGAGTAGCGAACCACATGGTAATTTTTATTTGTTATATTACAAACCATTTTAGCAGTGATTTCATCAGTCATCTAATAAAAGATTGTTTCTGCATTTTATGTTGTTGTTTTTGCATTTGTGTCAGATCATGAATCTCATGTTCGTCCTGGCTCAGCCTCTGGCAGAACTGCACCTTTCAAAGAGAGAAACGAAATGTCTCAGCATGGTTTGTGTTTTTTTTAGCCTTCATTTTTCTATTATCAAAGCATCTTTTTTTGGCAATTTGCAGATGATTGTGTATGTATTACATTACTTGATACTAATGTTTTCTTGACTGCAGATACCAAGAGTGGAAGTGTTGAAACTTGGACAAGAGAAGGTCCACCACATGTTGAAGAACACTGGCAAGGGGAACCACACCAATATCTGAACCCTAATGTCCCCCCTCAACATTTTGATGCATGGCGTGGCCCACCAATGAATGCACCTGGTGTTTGGTATAGAGGACCACCACCACCACCTGGAGGTCCACCATACCCCCCTGTTCCTCATGGCGGCTACCCAATGGAACCTTTCCCTTACTATCGCCCTCAGATGCCGCCTCCTTTAGCAAATTCACAACAGGGGCCCGGTCCAAGAGGCCATCATCCAAGAAACGGAGATTTTTATAGACCCCAGATGCCTGATGCTTTTATACGCCCCGGTATGCCTATCAGGCCTGGGTTTTACCCTGGTCCTGTGCCTTACGAAGGGTATTTTGGTCCACCAATGGGTTATAATCACAATCCCAATGACCGTGATAACCCGTTTATGGGAATGCCACCTGGACCTCCTGTTTACAACATGTGTCCACCTCAAAACCCTTCGGAGCTTGGTGATCCCCATTTTAGAGGTGGCGTGCGTGGGCCCCCCGGAAACATGTATGTTCCGGAACAATTGGATTCTGTTCCTCCACATGAAGAGCCTCGTGGGCCATACAAAGTTCTTAGGAAACGTGAAAACGAAAGGAATGCTGACGTGGACGAGGGTAGTTGGGAGAATCAGACTGCAACAAACTCACTGGCTTTAGAAAAGAATGAGCAGCCACAGCCAAGACCATCATTCCACAAAAGTGACACCAGAAGGAACGAAGATATGCCTTCTAGAAGAAACACACTTGTTGAGAATAATCCTCCTCCTTCCAGGATGTTAGGAAGCCAAAATTACCCTTCTAATTCTAAAGCATCCAGTGAGAGTTGGGGTAAAAGATCAGAAACTGTGACACCTGTTTCAGAGGTGGCTCAGGATGTTTCAGCTAACCCTAAAGATGCAAGCTTGATACAAAAGATTGAAGGTTTGAATGCGAAAGTACGCGGGACATCTGATGTTGCATCTGGTAATTTAAAAGAGGAGCAAAAGAATAATAGGTTAGTTAACAACCCAAACCCCAAGGACAATTCTACCCTTACATTTGGTACGATTTCCAACACTGAAGATCTTGCCCCTCCTCGTGACATCAATCTTTCTAAAGATAATACCTCTAAATCCACCACCGCAAGCGCATCAGTAGTCTCAAGGTTTATGATTTGGATTTTTTGATGTCCGACTTCATATATAGATATAATAATTTTGTTTTATGTATAATGTTATATTCAGGCAACCGCATCATGGATTGCGAAAAGGAAGACCAGTTAATCAAGATAATGATGGGTGGCGAAAGAAATCTCCAGTTCCAAGTTCTGAGAATGTAGTTCATGTTTCTGAAGAGAACCCTGAAACTAAGAACACAGGCGATTCTCTGACTCCAATGGTTGACCCTGCTGATGGTCAAGCACAGGTAAGCAGTGGTGAAGAACACAATTTATCATCATTTTGTTGTGGATATGGCTAACCGTCTATATATCTATTTATGGCTGCATACTGAATCAGCGTGCTAGGATGAGGGAGTTGGCGAAACAGCGTGCAATTCAATTACAAAAGGAAGAGGAAGAGAGAATAAGGGAACAGAAAGCAAAGGCCCTTGCGAAATTGGAAGAGTTGAATAGGCGTACAACATTAGCAGCAGATGGTACAACACAGACTGCTGAAGCTTCTGCTACTGCTACTAGTGTTGTTGCTGAGCAGGAGGATGTGGAGGGTTCATCCCAAAAACCAAAAACGGGACCAGATACTGATACTAGCAAAGTGAGTTCAGATTTGGACACAAAAGGTCAATCTCAAGCAGTTGTCCAAGTCAGCAACAGTAAGAACAGTGAACAAGAGGCTGTTGTTGATGCTGAAAAGCCTGAAAGCAAAACTGTTCATGTCCCATTATCAACAACACAACAACAACAACAACAAAGAAAGAGAAATAACAAGAGTAGCAAGAATAAGCCTAAAGTTGATGATGTGATGGAAGGTGACGTGGCTAAGGTTTCTTCAGAACCAACCTCTCATGTTGAAGTAGATTCAAGCAAGGATTCGATGCAGCAATCTAACATCCAGTATAATAAAGGTCAGCAGCACTCGAGAAGGATGCCAAGGAATCCACAAGCTAATAATAACAATAACAGATCAGCAGATAGGTTTCATGGGAATGATGGTGTTGTGTGGGCCCCTGTTAGGGCCCACAACAAAGAAGATCGTGGTGATGAGCACAGTCAAGGTCAAAGCCAAAGAGTTATTCAGGATGATGTGGTGGTGCCAGTGAAGACGTCCGTCCAGACTAATCTGAAAAGCAGAAGGGCAGAAATGGAAAGATATGTTCCGAAACCAGTAGCTAAAGAACTGGCACAGCAATCAACACCATCTTCACCCATGAAAGGTGCATTAGAAGAAGATGCATCACAAGAAGTGGTTGTTCAACCTGTAGTTCCAGTATCATCTGATAGTAATAATAATAATAAGCAAAATAAGGCGCAGATGAAATCCCAGCAACAGGGAGTGTCTGTAAAGAAAAATCATAATAATCAGAAAGCTGCAGGTGTGGGTGTGAGCCAGAAGAGTGAAGCTACAGGTGAAATGAATGTGATGCATGACTGGGACCCGTCTGATGGGTGGTTTATGCCTGAATATCCTCCCCCACCACCACCAACAACAACAACCAATACAACCAGTGTTGTGAAAGATGAAGGTGGTGGTAATAAAGGAAAGAAACCAACAGCAGCATATAACAAGAGTCAGAGTAGGAGCACAGCGACAGTGGCAGTGAAAAATCATCAGGATGAAGCCGAGGTAATAACAGAAAGGCCTACTTCTGCGAAAGAGAATCGTTCTACTCATTGGCAACCAAAACCTCAAGCTCAAGCAGCAGCATATAAAGGTCAAGGTGGTGGTGAGGAACATCATCATGGCGGTGAAGAGGGTAGAAGAGAGAGAAAGCCAAGAGGAGGAGGAGTACGGATTCATTCCCCAAATAATAACATGGAAGATGAATCCCCTCCATTTGAGCAGCAGCAGCAGCAGCCAGGTTTTAGGAAGTATGGGCAAAACAACCGTGGTGGTGGTGGGCGGCAGCATAATAGCAATAATAACGCAAACATAAACCGGGAAAGGCCAAGGCAAAATCTGCATTACGAGTATCAGCCAGTCGGATCAAACAAACTGGATGCAGGTGCAGGTGTAGCTGATGGGTCTGGGAATTCAGGGGGTCAGAGGTACAAAGAGAGGGGTCAAGGTCAATCAAGGCGGGGTGGCGGCGGCGGCGGTGGGGGTAACTTTTATGGGCGGCAATAGTGGTGGTGATTGAAGAGAAGTCAGATGATGTTTACTCTTTTTTTTTGGGGTCAGAAAATTGGTGGGTGGTGTGAAGGTACGAATGGTGGGGTTGTATTTGAGTGATTTAATAATATGATGATTTTATAAATGTGTTATTGGTATGGTATGTCAGGTAGGGGCATGCATGCATTGAGCAGAGAGAATAGAGTTTGGGTTGTTTAGGGCGGACAGACAGACAGAGAGAGTGAGGAAGGCAAAGTGTTGCAGTTTATTACACGAGAGGGAGGGACGTGGCGGTTTCTTATGTGAGTGTTCTGAATATTGTAATGTCTTTCTTGTTATTAGGAGAGGAGCTATACATTGTGTCGTGTTGTGGAAGGAAGGAGAGAGATGAGATGAGATGAGATGAGCCCCTTCTTGTTTGGCCTAATATTGTTTTAAACTGACTGGTTTGCCCTGAATATTTGGTAGATAGATCTGATCTGATGTCATGAACCTTGTTGTTATTGTTTCACTCTTTCATCTATAGCATCTAGCTAATTCTCAGTTAACGTTACATCATGTCCTCAAGCTGTTTTTAGTTACAATCAAATGCCCTATTATTTCTTTTCATTTCGTTTTTTTTTTTTTTTTTTTCTTTATTATTATTATTTTTTTAAGAAAGGGATTTCCATTTCCTGATCTTACACCAGTTAGCCATATCTTGGGCCGGAACCCAACCCAATGATATTTTGACATGATTTGCGTTCCTCCACTAGCATTTACTCATTTCATGAGTAAACATAGGGGTGGCAAGGGGGCCAAACGGGGAAAATAGCATCTCTGCCCCAATCTCTGAATTCAGCCGTATCCTTGGATTCAAACCCTCAATCCGGCTTTCAAATTTCAGTATCATCTTTGTTTAGGGATGTCAAAAAAATCTCATGGGACCTTGATATTGTATAGGGGATATTTGTTTAAAAAATCAAGGATGGGGGAGGGGATGGATGTTCCCGTCCCGAACCCGGGGTCCGTTAATATTTTATTTATATTAATATATATTAATTATATAAATATAATAAATAATAGCAATGTTTTTGAGTTTCTAAAATTCAACAAAATACAATGTTTTTTAGTTGTCAACAAGATTCTAAATAACGCAAGGTGTGACTCGATAACAATGTCAAAACTCTAAAATTTACATCGTTTGTAAGGCGCGACATAAGGATGAATTTTGGAGAGGACGATGGAACGAATGAATTTCGGGGGTAAGGCGAGGGATGCAACCCCCGCTTCATTTGCCCATGTTGACATCACTGTCTTTGTTTCCTCTTCTATTTTCCTTGAATATCTTGTTAACTCTGTTTGTTCTGAAATCTCTTGTTTAACCCTAGTTACCTTCTTTTTATTATTTTCACTCTTAAAAATTATATATATATATATATATATATATATATATATATATATATATATATATATATATATATATAAAAGATCAACAACGAACTTAAATAAGGAAAGAACCAACAAACCCACTAACAACACATTTTTATGCACTTAGCCCCAATCAATCAACAATAGATACACATAACTCCGCAGCGGCAACCTGAAATCATCGAACGCATTGCTCAATCAAGTCCACCACAACTGAATCTACATGCGCATGTTCTCCTTACAGGTGAATTTCTCCATTTTCAACTTGATTGATTCGATGTGCGTATAAAGTGATATGATTTGAGATATCATGAAGATAATTGTAAAATTACGTTGCTATTTTATGGCTTTAATCGGTTGGTTATCTCATTCAATTTGTGACTATAGGTAATCATTAATAAACCATGTGAAAAAACATATGCATCGATAAAATGCATATGTTTTTTTGATTTTTTGCTTCTTCTTTATGTGGTTCCTGAATCTACTGTTTCCTATAACCGTAAGCAACCGAGTAACGTATTCGAATTGGTGATTTTGATATAACTTCCTAAAGTGGGTTTGCAAATGAATCTAACATGTTTAATGTTTCCCCGTTTGAATATTTATCATAGTTTTTGTAACGCCCTGTTCTGAATCGATTCTTAATTCGAAGCTGTGGCCCGAAGATCGATCATCATGAAGATTAAGGCCTTTGAAAAGGTGAGATCTAGGCCTATTTGGGTGCAATTGATGTATTTGAAGTGATCCGGGTGTTCGGTTCATTTTTTGGAGTCTATGGGTATTTCGGTAAAGTGTCAGTTCAGACTTTTGTGAAAATTGGATTTTTGATCGGAAGGTCTTAAGGATGGTATGTGTTGATAGAAGTGTAGAGCTTTTCATTACCTTTCCATGGATATAAGGATCGTCAGAAACGGGCTTATAATGAAGAAGTTATGGTCTTCAGAAGTTTGGTGGTTTTAAGGTTTAGTCTGGTACGCGAGGCGTACATAAAGGTTACGCCAAGCGTACTAGTGAAGAGAGCAATACGCGGGGTGCACCTTAGCGTATGATGGGCGTACTGATCAGGATGGTCGTGGGTGCTCTTCGGAGTATGTTGGACGTACTCCAATCAGACCCAAACCCTATTTTAGGGTTTTAAACCATATTTAAGTTCCTTATCTCATAACCTAACCCTAATATCTTCAGCCTCTATCCCTATAAACCCTAGAAATCGACCCTTAACCCCCATTTGAGTGATTTTAGAGCTTCAAAGTGGTTTAAGTGTGTTTTGGTGCTTGAGGAGGAAGAAGGAACTTCTTGAAGAGTTATTGTTTGACTTGGAGCTTTTGGATCCAAGCTTTATGCACATAGATTTAACTTCTGGAGGTATAAAGTCTCAACCTTGACAATGTTTTCTTGTAGATCTAGCTAGGTGGCACTTTGTTATGATTTTGGTCCCTTTGTGGTGGTTTTTGTGAGTAGAAGTTACTCCAGAACCTTTAAGCTTCATATTTGGCCTTTGTTGGGGTTATGGAGTCATAAAGTTTGGATCTTGATGAGTATAAACCTTTCATGCATGATTTGCTAGTCTTTTGGTGAAGCTTGAGACTTAGGGTTTTGATTTGGGTCCCATTAAGTCGTGCTAAATTATAAAGTCAGGAACTTTATGACTTAAGAAGTCCCTTTGAATAAGATCTGGAAGTTTATACTAAGGTCTTAAGGTATTAAGAGGTTTTTAAGGCATTTTGGTGTGATTTTGACATTTGGAATTTATCTTTGGTGTTTGGGCTTCATTAAGCCATGCAAAGGCTTAAAGCATTCGACTTTATGATCAAGTCACTTATATTTAGCTATTCTGAGGTTTTGGACGTCTTGGCTTAATGGATTAAGAGCTAGAATTGAGAGTTGGTCGAACAGGAGGAGTATGTTGGGCGTACAAGCCCTTAAGTTAGTACGCTTAGCGTACAAGCTGAGTATGCCCCACGTACTCATTAGAGTAGGATTTCGGTTTTGGGGCTTCAATTGGGCCATCTTTTGGGCTTTGTTGTTTTGGGATCTGTTGGGCCATTAGGTTTTGGGTTGATATTTATTTGTGGAGGCCTACTATGGATTTGGGCCAAATTTGGAAAATTAGGCCATGGGTAGTTTTTGGTATTTGGGCCTTGTGGACTATTAGGTTTGGGCCTAAGTCTTGGTCCAAAAGTAGGAGAATTTCATTTACCCCAGTAATGAATTTATGGTTATTGATTGGAACCAATTGTTGATTGGGGTGTTGTTTTGACTTCGATAGTTTGGGGATCTATCAACCAGCAACTATGGATTTTATGTTTGATTCGGCAGTGCGAGATGAGTCTTCTCAATATATTCATGGGTCGAAGGCACCAATGCCGACCCATCACGTGTTATGTGGTATGCTAGTTGTCTTTGTGATATTTGCATGGAAGACCCCAGGGGTGGCTCGTAGCACTTGGATATTAGACCATAGGGGGAGCCCATGTCATTCCAGGTAAAGACCATTGGGGGAGCCCATGACATTCCAGATAAAGACCATGGGAGGAGCCAATGGCAATTATATGTACGTTGCATGATAATATGTGGTTGTATGTTGTATGATATTTTGGGGAACTCATTAAACTTTGTACTTACGGTCTTCAGTTTATATTTCAGGTACTTTGATTTTCAAATGAGAGGGCTTGGGATGATTGCAGAACACATATCCCATGTTTCTGCATTCTATGAAATACTCTGATTTAACGATGTTTTGCTAAGACTCAGTTACCTTGGTTTTATGGGAAAGCTATGTATTAACTATTTATTAATCTAAAAACATTTTTTATGTCATGATTTTCAGGACGTTATAGTTTTCTAGAAGCTTGTGGCTTATATTGGCCTACACTAAATGGATTTGTCTCTTTTCCCTTTCATTACTACACCTAAAATAACGAAATTTGCTATAAAGGATTTATGAATCTTTTCTTGTCTATTAGAGATGCACATCAAGTGCTCGATGAAATGCGTGAAACAAGCACCCCATTTTTTTCCAGTAAGTTAGTCTTTTTAGGGATGGCAAAAAAGCCCGAACCCGATGGGAAAACCCCAAACTCGATCATTTCGGGTCGAGTAACGGGTTGTTATCGGGTTTTTTATCAGGTTCGGGACAGGGAGTGGGTTATCCTCGCCTCGCCCCGTTGCAATTATATATATATATCTACACACACACACACACACACATATGGGAAAAGTGAATATACCCTTAAGGGTATATAAGCTTAGATACCCAAACTCACCATATTATGTCGTTTTGTATAATATAACACATTCTAATTGTCCAATGCTTTTATAATTCAACTTCTAACTTAATTTACTTCTATGATTTTTATAAATTACACATTTATTTTCTTCTTACATAATTTTCATTTTCAACTACAATATATAGACTAATAGGTGTTCGGCAAAAAGATGTGATGTAAGAGAAAAATAATAGTGAAATTTCAAAACTAGTGGGCAGACATTGGTGCATTCGACCCACATGTATTGTGAGGTGAAACTCACCTCAATATGCGCGTAGATAACCACTTTAGCAACGAAGAACTCTATCACCAAAGAGTAGGATTGATTAAGGGTTGACTTAGTCATTCTCGGGTGAAATAATAATCCAATCAACAACCCAATTATGTGCCCGATCATTGTCCAAAATAGAGCTCCCCGTAAGGTGTAGTTGGGTATTTTCATTCCCTAAGTCAATTTTTTTTTTTAGCCACACGCCCATAGGTACATAAGAAATGTATTGAATCGATTCTTTTTAATGAATAGATCCGATCGCAACTTCTTTCCACATAAAATGATAACTAGGGTTAGTGTTCCACACTAAACCCTTTAAGGGCTTAACTCAATAAGTCCAGTATTGCAATAAATTAATTGTAGGACATTATTAAGTATTATTTAAAGTTTAATTAATAGTTTTTAACATGGGTCCCGACCAACTCCAAAATCCAAGGTTTTCTTGACATTAGGGTTTTCTAAAACCTAATTAAGGTTTCCAACCCCAAACTCGCCACTCGGACTAAAGTTAGATGTCTAGGTCATTAATTGCTTAATAAATCAGGCACCACCCACTGCCACCACGGGAAGTGGTGGTCGACGGCGGTTTCAAGTGATGATTCTAGTAATCCAAGCAGACATAAAAATTCCTATATCACACACACACACACACACTAGCA